TAAAAAAAAAAAACCTCTTGTAGAAAAACATTTTGTGGTTGGAAAATTGAATCAAATCACACGATAGTCGAGTATAGATTACCTAAACCTATATTATTACATTGTACAGTGTTTTTTTTTTCTTTTACTAAATTTCAGTATTTATGTTATAGACGATGCTTCTGATGCATTGAGTAGTTGGTTTATTTTCCATGCGATAGGGATCTATCCAGTGTGAGTTATTATTAAAACATAGAAAAAAGTTTTGAACTTATTTTGAGTAAGCTAATATATACTATGTACGGTTTATTTGATTGAAACAACAGAGCGGGCCAAGACATTTACTTAATAAACTCTCCACAATTTTCAAATATAACAATTCAAATGTCACCAACAACTCAGTTCATAATTAAAGCCTCAAATTTTGCTCCTAGAAATATATATATTCGGAGTGTAAAACTTAATGGTAAAGATTGGAAGATGAGCTGGTTTAGACATAAAGATATTGAAAATGGCGGAACGCTTGAATTAGAAATGGCAAGTGAGATAAGTATGGAATGGCCCAATGGTTGGAATGATATAAATAATGTAAATCAGAATAGTAATAGTGACGATTGGAAATTTGTACCCCCAACTAATCCTGATGATAAATATGTGTATTGAATACGGAATATATTTTATAGTTATTGTATGAATAACCTAATTACACACGGGTTCATATTCCGTGCCGAAGGCACGGGATTTAAATATAAACCCGTGCGCATAACTGAGTTATTCATATACTCATATAATAACTATCTTATTGCACGGCAATCCCGTGCCAATAAGTAAATGAAAAAAGCGCGGTCACATAAGACCCGTGCAATAAAGTAATTGTTATAAGATCAAGACATGTTTTAGTTTTTGCTGTAACAAGTAAAAAGAATTATTCGGTATCGAAACTAACTATTGTCATATAATAAAATGATGTGTAGTGATACAAATAATCATTAAGTTTCTAAATTATTTTGCTCTTAACGTAAATTTAAATGGCTAAATTACAGTAGATAGCCAAATCGTAAATAATTTAGTGTCAAAAATAATTCAGGTTGCAAAAATTATTTTAGTAGGTCAGCATTTAAAATATTTTAGGATGTCTAAAAATATTTCGCCATTTCAAATGTTTTGACGAAAAATTAAATTTTTTAAAATATTATAATACTTTCGTCCAGAATCGCCAGTTCGTTGTAAAATTAGTTGATTTTTTTTAAAAAAGTTAAAAAATTATATAAAGAATTAAGAAAAATTTTCCTTACGGAAATGATAAGCATCGGAAAGCTATACATATATTTTTTTGAACTTAAGGATGGTATAAAGATAATATTACCATAACAATTTTAATGAGTGAAGTTTTTTATTTGTGACTATAAAGACGGAATGAAGATTTTAAGGAATCCTATTCTGTTTTTTATAAACGCAAAATAAAATATAATATCAACGATTAGGTTATCAAGACCTTTTTTTAAAAGGGCACTTTTGAAGAGCAAACTTCCGCGATAATACCATATCGATATTACTTGTGAATACCCCTTAACATAGAATAATATAGGAGCAGTTATAATAATATCGGTGGTCTATAGTAATATCGGAAACTAAAAAAAATTTTAAGTACATACATAGCATTTTAAAACACAACTTTTAGCAGACACTCTTGAATATTTTTATTGATCGGTATTGTGAGTTACAATATACAATTTCGTAGAAAAGAGTTTGAAAACTATCTATTGATAAGATACGATATTAAAGAATAATCAATATTAGATAATAGTAACCCCGAAAAAGATTATTTAATTTAATGATTTTTAAAAATAGAAATAATAATTAATTTGAAGACACTTCATCTATTTTCTGATGCAAAATTTGGTTGTGGTGAATGATATCTATTAGATATTGCATAATCTTTTTGTCCTGACTGGATGCTATGATACTTTGTTTTTTGGTGATGGACTATCATTGTCGATTCATATGGTTTCAAGCATAGTTGTTAGACAAAACCTTGAAGTTTCGCCTAACGAAGCGCGTAGCCATTTCGTCTTCCTTCAATTAAAATCTTAATGACGAAATGGCTAAACTGACGAAACTGATGAAAGGTGGCGATCCTGAATGTCTGAATGTGTGCCAGGTTCGTGACGCAGCAAAAATTCTTTAAAGTTCGTTTATGTTAGTGTTAGGGTTGGGATCAGAAGTTAGAAGGAAGAGTTTATATAGTAAAATTGCCTAACGAAAACTTTTTGTTAGAACACTAATAGTGTTTTCTTATTCAGAATTTAGAGAAATAGCGATTTTTGACAAAACGAACGTTTGTTTTGAATTTTCTTGATCGTCGTGTACGTTACACCTGATATTGAAATCTGATTTGTAGTTAAGGAAATCTGCGCCACGAACTTGGCACACATTCAAGAATTGCGATACTGACGAAAAGTGACGAACCTAATAAAAGACGAATATACAAATAAATGTTGTTGAAACCCATTGAAAATTATGTACAGTTAACTACCTATATAACGGACATCTATAATAAAAATCACCTATATAATGGACTTAAAATTTTAAAATTTATTATAAATCCGTTATATAAATATTAGTAAAAAGCTATATAAAGGATTTTACAAAAAATTAATTATAAGACCCAAAAATCCGTTATATACAGTAGATAGTTGACTGTATATAAAAAAATAAACTAACAAAAACAGAAATTTATAAAAATTACAAAAAATTTTATCGTATAATAGGCGCTTGAATTGTCTAAAGGTCGGTGCTTACTTTGTAATCTTACAAATTTATTTTGTGCCAGTATGTTTTAATTAATTATTTGTGTTATTCCATGAGTACTATGGCTTTTTAACAAGGTTATTTCTACCGATCTATAGCAACCCTAGCATTGTCCAGAAAGAATGAACTGATTTATTTTTGCTGGCAGACATGTAATTTCGGATACTGATCTCTGAATGTTATTCAATGAAAATAACTTTTTTTCTTTTTTTTCTTTTTTTATTTAGCGGGTTTCGTCTTTTTGAGCGTAAGGTTTCGTCTTTCGCCTAACAACTATAGTTTCAAGTTGACCACGAAATGAATGCAGAAAACAGAATACCTTAATACGTTCTAGCTCTGTTTTACGATCTCCCGACTGTTGTATTTTTTAAGGTTCCTATCTCTATTACTGAATTACACAAATGGATGGCTGACTAGACCCATATGGTATGGGCAGTGTTGTGCTGGGACAGGGACACGGACAACGGACAGTCCGGGATGGGACATGTCCGCCAAAATGTTAACGTCCCAGACAATTAAAATTATAGCAAGGGCTGCTTTGTTGGTCAATCCGATCA